TAGACCACTATACATTATATTTCATTTCCACTGACTTGTCAGTGTGACTGGTGCCGGAGGTATGCTTTGGCAGAATCTCCAGAATTGTCATGGCTATCTCCTTTTGCTGCTAATATTACTGATTGTTACTCTCATTGCTACGCAGCTGCTATGGCAATACTTTGTGCCATCAATTCTAGTAGAACAGCTTTGGACCACAAACGGCACCTGGCTCCAAACACTAATATTAATTATCTGCCGTTAAACATGGTTGCAATTGCCCAGACCAAATGAAAACCTGATTTTAGAGTTATATATGAAAATACCCCTCTTTTAATTATAAACATATATTTTGGTCGACGTTATAAATATCTTGTCAGCTCCATATTCTTATTTAATTAATAATTAGTATAATTACATAGGTGATTATTGAAAATTCTCCACGCTGATTGGTTGCCGTTGAGGTGATTATTACGCGATAATCACCTAAGCGATTTTCAAAATGGCGGCCGAAGCCTTTTTGTCAATTAAATGACGAAGAAATGTGTATTTTCTTGGTTTTTTTCCAAATAATCACCTATGAAATTATACTAAAACAATTATTCACCTCAGGCTCGGTGATTATCGTGAATAAAAACCTCGACTTCGTCTCGGTTTTTATTCACCGATAATCACCTCGCCTTCGGCGAATAATTGTTAATTAACATTATAAAGCCTGGGTATCCCCATTTGTCGAGTAAAAATGAAAATGGGGGGGGGTCAAAGAAAAATATTCTAGTATGTAAGGGGGGGGTCGTCATTAAATTTCTGCTCTTTTAAGGAGGGGCTTTCAAATTTAAAATTTTAGTAAAGAAAAAATTCCCCTCCCCCCTTCCATAAATAATGACTGGTCCCCAATCCCACAGTAATTATACTACTTGTGATTGGAATCTTGCCGAAATGCATGTTTTAATTTTTGATATTTGGATGATTGTATCAGACTATAATGCCAATCCCACAGTAATTATACTAGTCGTTGGGATTGGAATCTTGCCAAAATGTATGTTTTAATTTTTGATATCTGGATGACTGAATCAGACTATAATACGAATCCTACAGTAATTATACTAGTTGGGTTGAAGAAGACCTTTGTTTGATGTTGAACTGTATTAGGCTAATCACCACAGACAGAATCCTTTGTCCTAACTAAATTCACTACATGTTATTCATCGTTGTTGCACATTTCATATAAGCTATCCATATCGTATGGAAACTTAATTAATCCATTGAGCCGCAATGTACCCCAGTGCGCCTTACTTATTTTCTTACTTGTCTAATGCCAGACGATTTTACTCATTAATGGGGAAGATCTGCGGCTTGATGGCACTGTTACCGGGCACAAATCAACAGAACACAATGACTTTTGTTCAGTTCCCAGACCATCATGTCAAATGTGTTCACAATGAATAATGAATACATGTTATTTATACTCTTGGTGCTCAGTGCCAATGTAGTAGTGATAATAGCAGACAGCTGTGGTAGGTACTATGAGATACAAATATTATCTGAAAAATATAAGCAGTTCTGTAAATCACATTACAGAAATATTTTGATAGGTGATACTATAAATATCGGAAAGGTTGGGAAAACTATTCAAGGGCTGTTTATATCCATGCTCACTTTAACTCTTGCAGGAAATAATCTTGAATGAAATAGTCAGTGTAGCTGTTCTGTTGTGGCCAAATGAGCCCGGTACACAGGGGTGTACATTGGGGGGGGGATTTGAAAATCACAAGAAGTTGGTCCCAGTTTTATTGCACTCCTCTATTTCTGTGCTAACGTATAGCTACAAATGCCTGTTCCAGAACAGGAAAGTCATCCCAGATCATCCCAACCCCAACCCCCAGAAATTTTTGAATGTGTGCCCATGTTGGTACATATAAACAGCCCCTAATAATGAACATTGTTTGATAGGCAATTTTCACCCAGGCTGGCCAGGCATTTTTAATATTTTTTGCTGTTTGAAGTTTTGAACTCGATATGTACACTTCATACCAGTTTAATACAGTCGATACTAATAGTCAGCACATAGTCCATATAAACGTCGCTACTGTATATAAACCATTAATCCATTATTCCATGGCATGGTACGTGATTTTTCAAAATATTGAAAATATATAGCCCTATATATAAGTATAAAATATATGTCCAATACTCGCGTATAAAAACTCTCCAATTTTGACTTTCAATCTTCACAGGGAACCACTTTTACCATAAATACAACAAGCAGAAAGAACATCTAATATCGCGAGCCAAAAATTATTGCCATTTACACACTTAATAGTCCGATTTATTTACTCGAAGTCATTAATATTTATAACACTGCTTGCTCGTCGCCATATTGAATGCGCTATATTGATAAACGGTAGTCTGGCACTAGTATAATTTGTTTGCTACTCAGATTGGCGAGATTGGTAATCTGGCAAGTATAAATACTGCGCCTCCCGACCAATCTCATAGTTATTATACTAGCTAGATTCTTGCGAAACGGGTGATTTTTTTGGTAAGCAGAACTGGCGATGCGGGATGAACCGAACGCCGAGTTAAGGTGCCAAAGTCGACGCTTTTATTCGGCCGAACTTCGTGATTAGCGCCTGCGATACATTAATGAAGGATACCGCATATATTTTCAAAATGGCGGTGTCACAGTGATATGAGTATCCCCGTGTTTTGTGTATCCCCTACTAATATCACTAGGGATTTGTGTATCCCCATGCCCACCTCACTAGGGATATGTGTATCCCCGGCAATATGGCGGTCGTGTTCTGCGTATCCCTAAAGAACCACCCTACATTCCCACATCACTAGGGATACAAGTATCCCTAACATTTCGCGGGAAATAAAACATGCAGAACTGTACATACAAGCTTGAAAATAACACTCTAAATAGTGTGTTGGATTGTGTTCCGAACAAGACTAATACCAAAAAGATATGTTGAAAGGGGCCGAAGTTATATTCGGCGAAAGGTATGGCTTAGTGATGCATTGTTTACATTCTTCGAGTTTTAATATTGTATATAGTATGGTATGGTTAGTTTACATTGTTCAAGTATGCCTAGTTTATAATTTATGGCTATTTTACATTGTTCGATTTCATAGAACTTTTCAAGCGGATTTTTTTGGTGGTACTTTCGTATTTCTACTGCAAATACTCGCGGAGTTCTGTAATATTTAAACTTCCTGTCATATACGTCGGAAATCAAGTAATACGGAGCCATATGAGTTCATGTTAAGAGTAATTCTACACTATGTTCTACACCAATTTATGCGACGCGAACATGCTATCTTGCAACAAAAGTACAATCACATTATACACATTTACTGCAGCATTTAATAACTGTAAAAATGTAAATACTTAATACCGGAAAATAAAGGCAGAGATAAATGAGCTCATATTTTGAATATTGCATCCTTTCGCTTCTAGTGTTGTAGGTATCCCCACCGGGGGTACTTTTATCCCTAGGGATATTAGTGTGGGGATACACAAAACACGGGGATGTTCGTATCACTGTGACAGCGGACAAAAACAAAATGAAGTGATTAAAAGACAGGCAAAAGGAACTCTTGCGTGCTCCCTTGCCAAATCCTGATAAAAACTTCCGGCTGTACTAGCCAGGATGGCGTGGCCTGACGTGAGCGAGTTAAAATTTTCGTGGACGTCAAACAATAAGGGAAACGACTAAAGTTATGCTTCTGGTATAACTTCCTATGGTAATGGCGCGATTTTATTTTATATTGAAAGACCGACAAATTTGGGGTTTTTTATTTCAATTATATAAGATATTTGCATTCTTTTGACAGCAATTATAATACGAAATATATTTCTTGGTAATAAGATACAATCAATCGTGTATTAAAGTTATTTTACAAGGATATCGAGCGGCATCGTTTAAATATTGGTGACTTCAATAAAAAAAGTCGAACGTTCCAACAGCGACGAATTGCTTCTGTTTCAATTATATTTGTGGACTCCAGTCGACGAATAATTGATTACAAGATAAGTATTGTATTATTTTTACTTTTTTCATGATAACTATTGGTTTTTAAACAAGATCAACTTGTTTAAACGAGGCCTGTCATGTACTGGGTATTCCATTGTCAATTTATTTATTTATTTATTTATAAACTTTGCCGCCAAAAATTTATACAACGACAACGGCGCAGGTACATCAACACAGCGTCAACCAATTACGTTGATGCCCTGGTTCTACAGACAGTTCTAACAATACATCCACTCGAACTCGAAACGTACACAACACATCTATCTATTTACATATAATTACAGTTCAAAGTCCACATTAGCCACCAAGGCTAGTCCTAGAAACAACAGTTCTTGAACGTTTTTAATGATCTTGCTAGATGGCACTTGGGACATTTGGTTTTCATGACTTGGGGTGATCTTTGTCGAAGGTGGTCTTGGTGGCAGTAAGGTAATATTGGGAAAGGAGGGATTTAAATCGATGGTATGAAATCTCTGGTAGACGTAATTCATCGGGAAGAGTGTTCCATATCCGTGAAGCTCTAACAGCATAACTGTTTTGATAGCAGAGTGTCTTAGTTTTTGGTATATGATATGTCACGAGGGTGGTATTTTGTGACCGTAGGTTCATCCTTAATTTGTTGTTTTGTTCTGGGAGGATATTGAGGTCAG